GGACGCCGATGGAGAAGTGCATTGCGAGAAGCCGACGACATCATGGTCCCGTATATGTTGTGGGTGTCGTACTCCACAAGGCCATTGAAGTGGACGAGGTCCGTGTCCAATGTCTTGTTTGACAGACTACCGGCGGCATTCTGGATCATGTAAGGAGGATTGATGAGCTTCCTGCCGGGAAGGCCCAGCTTTTTACCGGTCGCCGCTGTTTGTCGCTTGGCATTTGATGGCGGCTGTGGGAAATCAGCTGGAAATCCGGGAAGGGCAATTGCTGGACCATTTCGTAGCGCTGCTGGCTTTGGAGGGAACCCCATCTCTTTGGCAAATGCGTTGGGATCGGAGCATGGATAGTTACAAAAGCTGGGGAACAGTTAGCAATCCCATGCAAAGTAACAGAACGACTCATACATACTTTGAGGCTTCGTTCATATCGATCCAGAGTCCCGAGATATCGACCCCAGTCTCCGGGCTGAAGAACGACGCAAACTCCGCGTTCCAGTAGTCTTGGGTATCTGGATGGAACCAATCTGGAAAGACCGTTGGGCCGGGCCACACAACGCCCTCAAATGGAGACCCGTCGGCTCTTTTCATGAAGACGCCCGAGTTGTTGCCGTTATTGAACGCCGAGTAGTTCTGATATGCGACTGCGGGGTCGACCATGACGATATAATGTTGCTGATGTGCGTGCAGATAAGAAACCAATTCGCGCATCTTGCGCAGAGGGAAGCGTTGTGGATCCAAAGTGAAGACTTTTCGCGCATCCTATCTCCCCGTCAGTATCTCCCTGGCACGAGTCCGGCGACACTACCTACCATATAATCAATGTCCGTCCACATGGTCTGTAGCTGTTAGCACAAATCCTGGTCCACAGAAGGGTGTGCCTACCTCCAAGGGAATGTTGGCGGCGCTGTAGTTGTGCACAACTTCTGCAACCTCCCAGACGTCTTTGTACCCATATCTGCATTGGTGGAATCCAAAGGTCCAATACGCCATCATTGCGGGTTTACCCACAACTTCGGATATTTGCTGGGAGACTTCAATCGGAGAAGGCCCTGCTAGGAAGTAGAAGTCTAGGACACCTCCGAGGGTGTTGTATTCAAGGTATTGGCCAGCAGTGTCATTGATCTTGATGTCCATACCATTGGAGTTTACGAACAACACCCCATGTGTGCCATTTGACCCTCGGTGATCAATGTACACTGGATGATTCCCGTACAAATTGGTGCCCTGGGGGATGCCATAGGCATCGCGAGACCAGAGAGTCCTAGTGTAATTGGACGTATTCAGCTTGAAGTGATCCGAGTGTTCACCAAGTCCGTACAGATTTGGGTGGCTGGGTAAAGAGGTCCGCAATCTCAGATACTGCGACTCAAAGACGATGGGGGATCCGGACGTGTTGAACAGAACCTCTCCCGAAGGCCGAGACACAGAGAAGGTGAAAGGGTTCTCCGTGTAGTCAAACACAAGCCGAGCATTGGCAGCCGTGGTGCCTTCTGTGGCATTGGGGCGGGGAAGAACGGATTCAGGAACTTGATAGACAGTCTGGTTCTGATCCTCGATGATTACATGAAGCCTCGAAGCTTTCCCAGTGGATCAGAAACCATACTTGTATCGCTCACAGGACAACAGACATACCGGATTGATACTCCACAGTCAGGGTGAGGTTTCGCAGATCGGTGCCGTAAAGGTTACAGGCAGGGCCGGCGAGGTTGAGATCAGCTGTCAAGCCATTCGCAGTCTGCTGGACATTGCTGGCTCGGTAACCTGGGCAGGCTTTCTGAGCAACAGCCACCCCAGACGCACACAAGGCCAACAGGACGGGAGTCAACTTCATCTTTCGCAGGAGGAGATTCCGTGCAATGGATGGATAGACAAAGTCCAGGAGACGACTGAGCTCGAGCGAGTGCTCTGTTTAAGAAGCACAGAAACTTCTCCTCCGACCAACTGACCCCGTGGGCATTGTTATTTTGTGGGAGCTGCATGAGCTGCTGCATCGACCATCACCACTTGCCGACCACAACGTCAGAGCTCGAGTCAAAACCCGTGGAGCCCCAGAGGCAAAAGGCTCTCGAGTCCATCCAGTCAAGCTCCAGCTTTACCCCACAGAGTCACATTTCGACCAACCTGGCGCGGAGTCGCGGACTGGAAAGGGCGGGTTGTAGATGATGGTATTCTAGGTGAGTGGCATCGTCAGAGTCCAATGGCAAGGATGCGGTGCCTGACTAGAAGCTCCCGAAGCTCCCATGGCCTTGTCAAAGGTGCAAAAATGGTTAAATTGCGGAGGAAGAGGGACAAAGTGACATTGGGGAGAGCTCGAGTGCTACATTGCCAAGCGGTGACATTGGACCAAAATTCCCCCGAGTATTTTAACCAGGCGAGTGGAAGGATGGGGATGCTGATCACCAGGCCAGTATTTCAAATGAGGAGGGGTCAGTGGAAGTGTGTGATCACAAAACATGAGACGAAAGTGTCGCTCCATGAGTTAAATCCTCCCGCAGCCACCTTTTGATCGGTGATATCATGCCTTGACAGCCTTGCGAGCCTCGGGCAAGGCTGCTGTTCTTTATACCCGCAACCTTCATTTTATCTCCGTATTCAATCTATCTTCAGTACGAGCCCAGCACAGGAGATGTCCTCGCGCCAACATGGTCAAGACTGTGCCTAGTGACTAACATGGAAAATTTATCATAATCTCCTTAGCGATAAGGTGGGCATCTCCTCTTCCTTGTTAATTTGAGCTACCAGCCCGGCAGTTGGCCGGAAACATCAACCCTTGACCGCAGTTTCGACCACATCCCACAGAGCTACCGCCATATATAGTCTAACAGAGCTCCAACAACCATGAGCTATGATGATGAGAAGACACGCGGAACGTCCAAGTGCTGACGACAAGACTTGAATGATGCTACACCTCCTCAACCTCCTGGGGCTCTCTCTCCTCCTTCCAACTCCCTCTATCGCGCAGACAGCCCCGATCGATGTCCGCGAAGCTACCATCTTGAGCATCCACAGCTCTCTGTTCTCTGGCTTCACCACCTGCCGAGATGTGGTCAGCGCCTTCATCGCCCGGATCGAACACTTCAACCCGGACATTAACGCCATCATCACCTTGAATCCGGATGCTCTCTCGATCGCCGACTCGCTGGACCAGTCCCTGTCGCAAGGGAATGCCACGGGCCCACTCTTCTGCATCCCCATCCTTCTCAAGGACAACTACGATGCCCTGCCCATGCCGTCGACAGGTGGTTGTTTGGCTCTCAATGCCTCGAAACCGACTCAAGACGCGCCCGCCGTGCGGGCCTTCCGCAACGCAGGGGCCGTGATCTTGGGCAAATCGAATCTCCATGAATTGGCGCTCGAGGGCCTGTCGGTATCCAGCCTGGGTGGCCAAACCATCAATCCGTACGACTTCACTCGCACGCCCGGGGGGAGCTCAGGTGGTACGGGCGCAGCAGTCGCAGCCTCGTTCGCCGTGTTCGGCACGGGCACGGATACCGTGAACTCGCTACGGAGCCCCGCGAGCGCCAACAGCCTGTTCAGCTTCCGGCCAACGAGGGGGCTGATTTCTCGCGCGGGTGTCATCCCCATCTCCTACACCCAGGATACGATCGGTGCGATAGGACGTTCCCTGCCGGACATCGCGACGGCGCTGACTGTCATGGCCTCGATCGGCTACGACCCGGCCGACAATGTCACGTCGGCGATCCCATCCTCGGTCCTGGGCACCGACTACACGACGTTCGTCTCGCCGGGCAGACGGGCCAACCTCACGGGGATGCGGATTGGGGTGATCGAAGGGTTCTTCAATCGCGCATCGAGCAACGAGACCACGCCGGTCAACGAGGCCATGGATCACGCCATCGCGGTCCTGCAGGGCCTGGGGGCCAGCGTGATTGTCATCAATGACACGACAACGTACAACGCGACGTCTATCTCGGCGCAGATGGACGTGCAGACGTCCGAGTACCGTGAACTGCTCACGCACTACCTCTCGAGCGACAACCTGACGGGGCCTCACCCGCTGACCATGCCCGCGCTCTATACGCCCAACCAAACCACGCCGGAGTTCCTGGTGATCCCGTCGCAGTACTCGTACGTGGAGACGGCGCTGGTCTCGTCGACGGGCAACGCATCCTACTTCCTCAAGCAGGCGCTGATCGCCAACCTGACCCGGTCCCTGCAGGCCACCATCCTCTCCAACCAGCTCACCTGCCTCATCTACCCGGAGCAGAAGAACCTGGTCGTCCCCATCGGCTCGCCCAGCCAGTCCGGCCGCAACGGCATCCTGGCCGCCCTGACAGGCTCGCCTGTAATCACCGTCCCCATTGGCTTTTCACCCGCGTCCGCCACCGCTCCGATCGGCATCCCCATCGGCATGGAGCTGCTGGGCCTGCCCTGGTCCGAAGGCACCCTGCTGCACGTCGCCAAGGCCCTCGACGACGTGCTGCACGCCCGCAAGATGCCCGTGACGGCCGGACTGAACGCCACTGTCGAGCTCACAAAGGCCTACACCCAAGTGCCGCGGGTCGTGCCGCTCGGGGCCAAGAATATCGACAAGGCCGCCTATCCGCTCGGCGTGTACTGAGTTACAAGAAAGGTCTATTCATGTACATACACGTAGCAACAATAGAACATAGTCTCGTTCTGTACAGAGAAAAGCAATTTAAAACAGCCGTGTCCTCGCACAAGATTCCGAGCATAAGAACGTGTGCATGTGTGGGTTCCTCTCTCTAAGTATATTGGGTGGGATTTGAACGCAAAGATTCTTTCGAATTGTCCAGACGCTTCATCGCTAGTAGTTCATCATCTATGTATGGATGCTCTCGTCATTGCCATGTGGTATCTCAAATTGCCATCAATCATGAAGAATGCCATCATCTGCCCGCTTAGCCCATGTATTTATTACCAGAGTCCAGCACTTGTAACCGCCAGGTATTTCATTCCGCGTGTCGTTAACTCATCAACAGAGGGGAAATAAGGGAAGGTCATGGTCTGTCTCATCACTCTCTGCTCCCCTCACCGATCGTCTGTTGGCCTGCCACTCGGCTGCCACCGCAGTTCCATCTTCCATCACCCTCCCTTTGTTGCCTCAGTTGCTCCTCGATGAGGCTCTGCTTTTTGACGTACTCAATCACAATCTCTTCTTCTGTTCTTTCTTTCGTAAGTTCTTCCTGTCGCTTCTTGTCTTCCTCCTCAGACGCGGTTATTGCCCGCTGTAACTCCTCGTCATTTTCATAGTGATCGGCTGTCGCTCCTGTGGCGGATGTACCTGGCTCCGCATGTCCATTTGTAGCTGTCAGTGCGGCCTCACGTTCTGCAAGCCCTTTCTTCTTCAGTTCATTTTCCGTATGCAGTTTCTTGGTCTCCTCAAGTTTGCGCACGAAATCTTCGTCGTAGTCAGTGTCAATTCCTGAATCACTGTAATCCAAATGGTGGTGATCTCCGGGGGCTAAAGCTGTTGTAGTTTTGGTCTGATTGTGCTCTTCCATACTCTGCACAAGTGCCCGTTCGAGTTCAGCGTCATGCTCTGCCTCCGGCTTCTCTGTGCTCTTGGACGAGGCATCGCTCTGTCGAGCATGTTCTTCTTGAGCCTTCTTGAATTCTCGAATGCTAGCTTGAATGGCTTGCTGGTATGCTGCATCAGAATACTTGTTTGGGTCGTGACCCGAACTGTGCAGCTCCCGAAGACTCGCTCGCAGCGCCCTTTCAATGACTGCATCTTCCAAAGGATTGCCTTTGCTCGTCGAACTCACGGAATGCTTAATTGCGTGCTCATAGTCGGCCAGGATGTTATCTTGCGACTGCGACGGTGTGCTCTCATGGCTAAGGGAGGATCCCAGACTGGAGAGAGAGTGGCTGTGCTTGAGATGATGACTGGTGTCATGGTCAAAGGGACAAAATTTGCACCGGCTTTTGATCTTGCCATTCTTCCTCTCTTCCCTTTGAATTTCTCTTTCACGGCGTTGCAATTCCTTCTCTTCCTTTCTCAGCTGGTCTCTTCGCTCGGCAAGAGCCTTTCTTTCGTCCCAACTAAGATGTCTAGTATTTCGGAATCCGTGAACCAATTCAACGGAATCCGTGTTGGTCCTCGTGATAATGTGGCTTTCAATCGCCACCTTGCGATCATTTCCGTAGAGTTGTCCATGTTTCCGGGTTTCCAGCCTGCCATCCTTCCAGGCGGTAACAATTCGTTGTCGTTCCTCGGGAGAACTGTTTTTCCAGTCCTCGAATCCTTGCGCTGTTCGAGCCGCAATGATATAATTCTGTACGGAGCTTCCAAAGTGCTTGGAAATCTCGCTGTAGATGCCTTTTGCCGTGTAGCCAGGGAGGCCCCAAATGCCCGCGGCCGGTTTGAGAACCAGACCACCGAGACCTTTGGCCGCACCCTTGAAGAAACCAGCTGCGCCCTCTTTCTTCGCCCCTGCCAGTGGCTGGGTGACGAGACCTGTGATGCCGTCGTAGAAGCCATAACTGAACTCTTTGCGCGCCACTCGCAAGCCGGAATGAAGCCCAACGATCTTTTCGTTCTGTCGTACCGTGTCGTCTCCATATAGCTTCGGTGCATTGTGGAACCCCTTTGCCAGGGACAATGTGAAGTCCATGGGTGATTTGACGCCAGCTGAAATGATTTTACCCGCAGCTTTAGCTCCAGAGATCGCGGTGTCCAGTGAGACTTGCCCAACCTCTTCGCCGACACAGGACTCACGACTGTCGTTCGCTGCTGGCGAACCAGAGCGAGATCGGGATCGATGGTGAGTCAAGCTATGGTGCCGGTGATGATGGGAAACTTTGGGCGATCCATCTGCGCTCAAGACTGTAGACAAGGACGAAGGCGCCGGTACTGCCGTGGTCCCTGACGAAAGTGACGGTTCAGACTGAACAGGCGTAATCGCCCCAGAGGTCGAACTAGCAACTTCAGAAGAGCGTTCCAAGGGCGCAACAGGCGTGGATGTACCACTATTTGAGCGTCTTTCGTGGATTTCTTTCAATTCTCCCGACGCTGTCTTCAGAGACTTGAGGATTTCGACGGGGAAGTCTGCGATACCCATGGAAAGATTTCCCAGAGTCCCAATTAGGGCGGCTGCACCACCAGATATCGGCTCCCATGGGCCATCCTCTGTCTCATACTCTCGAGGTCGGTAAAGCTTCAGGTCCGAGAAGTCCAGCAGACCTTCCGTTCCTAGAACAGTGGCTGCAAGTGGTGACAGCCGGATATCTGTTCGTTTTACACGCCAGACTGCAATTCGTGACGGATCCAGCGAGCATCGGAGGTTCGACATGTGCAACTGCTTATGAAACGACTGTGCGCCAGCTTCACAACCATCTTCTGCCTTGATCTTCGTGCTTAGCTCCTTTGCGCGCTCAAGCGACTCGGGCTTTAATGCTTCCAAGATCGAGTGTGCGAGCTTGTCGGAATTCAAATTCTTGTATGCAATGGGCATGGGACCTGCTCCAGCTCTGGCGGTCATTGAGCCCCAGAATGGTTGATCACCAAAGAATGGGACCACCACCGTCGGTCGACCGGCTAATATACCAGCGGCAGTTGTACCTGCACCACCGTGATGCACAACGCACGACACATGTTGAAATAGCCAATCGTGAGGGCAGTTGCCAATCATGAAGACGCCTTCAGGTATTCCCAACTCATTGGCCCCGAGCCCGCCCCAGCCTTTCGAGACTATTGCTCGCTGGCCCGTCTTCTTGATGGCATCAAATATCATCTTGGTCATGGCATTTGGATCGTCCACCACGATCGAGCCGAATCCAATGTAGACAGGAGGAGGCCCAGCAGCTAGGAAATCTGCCAAATCCTGTGGTGGTGTATAATTCGTGGACAGATTTAGGAAGAAGAACCCCGAAATGTCGATATAACTGCCCCAGTCTGCTGGTTTTGGAATCAAAGCCGGCGACCAGCAGTACGTCCATGGGATGCGCAATCGGCTGACCATGCCGGGTGCCCACATGATACTCACGGGTTCCAAGCCGAGACTCCTTTCTCGAAACCTGTTGATAACATCTCCTAAACCCTGCCAGGTCAACATATCTACCAAGGCGTAGGTGACAAAGTTTGTGATACTGGCGTCAGTATTTGAAGAGATGATGTTGGCGAGGGGGTGTGGGAAAGACTGCGTTGGCGACCAAGGCATGGTGAACATCAGATGAAGTGGAATGCCCAACTTCTCTGCGATATGAACATGGGCGAAACTTGGAGGATTGGCAATGATTGCATCTGCGACGAAGGGCTTCAAAGTCGGATCTATGCCGAAAGACACGGCACTGTCAAAGCTGCGCGTATCCATATTGTCATCGCTGACCGGCGTGCCCATGCCGTCCCCAGCTTCGATACAGGATCTCCAACAACCTGTGACGATTTCGTAGATTCCTTTTCGTCGCTTGCCCACGTCTCCGCTTTTGAGCGAGTCCATGCCCGGCATGAGGCCTGGATTCTTGACCATGAATGCCATGAGTTCTGCCGGGTCGCCCCCTATGCTGAAGAATTCCAGACCATTCTCGGTGACAAATTGTTTGAACGTGGGATGGGTGGCGATTCTGACGCGGTGCTTGTATTTGTTCTTCAATACCTGGCCCAATGCAACAAAGGGCTGGACATCTCCTCTGCTGCCCACGATCTGAATCACAATGTTCATCGGTGGAGGAGGTAGGCCGTCCACATCTCCCAATCCCTCAGGAACCGGGGGCTCTGGTGGCGGTTTCTGCCTCGACAACTCCAATTGACGGCGCAGCGCAGGCAGAAGCAAGCTCGTGAGCTTCCCTTTATGCTGGTTGATATTAATATTGACTCGACCATCACTGGCTATCCGTGCGCCCGTGTCAAGGCCATTCTGACTGATGTCTAGTTGTCCATACTCGGCGCCATTGTATGCTGGTGGAGGGACATCCTCCAGGTGAGGAGAGACGCCGCCATGATGTCGTACATGCCCTTCCGGCGATGAATTGGACACATTCGATTGTCTTGCACCACCAGACGCCTCCTCTTGAGCAGCTGCAGCCGCAGCTTCCGCTTCTTCCAGGATGATGGGAGGGATAGGTTCGCCTTGTCGCGGCGGGGTAGCAGGGGGATCTGAGTTAGACATTCTCGCACTTAACGAGACATTAAGGATGTGTTGGGAAGATACGAAGAGGTAGAGACACCGCTTTGGGCACAACGAAGAGGAAAGGACAGCAGCAATCAGAGGACGCAAGAAATAGGTAGCCGGTAACGGTGAGGGAGACTGGGTCGTTGTTAGGGTCACTTGGGTCAGGTGGGCATGGGCGGTGACAGAGACGTAATCACTGCTATGGATGATGGCACAGGAAGGGGAAGTTAGATCTTGAAGGTCGCCAGGTTAAAGAGTATATCATCACTTTTCCCTGTCTGTGTCCAGCGCGCAGGCGACATCATTGTCAGGGTTCTGCAACTTTGAAGCGCGAACCACCGCAGGAGGTATGTTGAACTAACGCCGGTTCGTAACTGGGCTGGAAGACACTTGACCGGAGCCAGTCACTGCAGGCTTTCAGCTAAGCTAGAACAGGGCCCTAGAAGGTTTAGTTTAGGTGGTTGAGTGGTCGAGTCCAGGGGGGTTCTTTACCCGTACGTAAAGGCGTTCGGGCTTCAGGGCAGCCCATTACGAGTAGTGCAGCCCGAGCCAGGAATGGCCAAAGGGTTCATCCCCTCATCCCCTCATCTTCACTGTGGATTGCTGAATCAGCCACGATAAGAGTCAGCATCGTGTTTCTTATTCCTCTTCCAGCAATTAGTAGATGACTTTCCCCTACCGTCCCACACTTTTTGCGCACATCTATTCCGAGCTGCGTTTGCTCTTCTCCTCTGCCAATGTAAGTAACTCACATAAGGCTGAGAGAGCTACTGGACGCCACCATCTACTCGCAGCCCGTCGCAGCCACTTGATCACCGCCCAGAGCTGAGGTAATGCTAGGTAATCGACACCTATACTCGGTATATTGAATTCAATATCCTATCTAGGTTCCCTACGAGCGTTTCTGTTTCCAACTCTGGGCGACCCCTTCCATCGTCTCGAACGTGATCTCGCCGTCACCTGCTGCCTTTTGCCGTTGCACGAGCTTTCCAATGAATCGATCAATCATGCCCACGATATGTGCCCGACCCGCACTTTCAGGATGCCAGATCATGCTACAAAAGGTCGATCCTGTGATTAGCATATTGCCTCTAGGGGGTTGGTTCGCTTATGGAAGCAGCATTAGTGTCACTTACGGATACACCGCGCCGTAGCCTTTCCCTGCCCCTTCATCCAACCAACTTTCATTCTCCCATAGCCATTCGAACCTGTCCCACCACATCTTTTCGACAAGGTCGACTCCAACGTACCCTTGTGTGTTGGCTGCATAAGGGTAAAATCCAAGCTGATGAAGATCAGGACAAGATTCATTACATGGGACGCAGGGCACTTACAGGCGTCATGTCCTCCGTATACCAGCTCGAGGGTATCTCCACTAGAGCCTTGTTGGCTTCAGCGGTGCCTGGCTGTGGCTGTTCGGGTATTTTGGTGGGGACCATCCAAGTGCTGGCCTCTTTCTTATAGTCCGGGACATGCGGTGGTTCTTGTGGAAAGGGGTTCACCAGGAAGTAAGGCAAAGAGTCGTGGGCGTTCATGCTACTGTCGTAAAGAAAGTCGTGGTCTTGGAGGAGCTTGACAGTCGTCTCACGGATTTGGTATAGCGGTGCTCGATATCCAACTGGTCTCTTACCTTGTCTGAGCTCGCTTATCAGGCCGATGCATTTTTGCAAAACATCCTTCTCCTGTTGAACAGTCATTGCATATGCCCCCTCGTGGCTATATCCATGTATTCCGATCTCCGCTCCGCTCTCAGCGATCTCCCGCGCTTGCAACGGGAACGTCTCAAGACTGTGACCGGGGACAAACCAGGTGAGTTTATCGGAGATGCCGTGTTTCTTGAACAGGCGCAGCAGTCTGCCCACCCCAACGTTGGCGCTGAAAATGCCGGCTGAGTAGTCGGAGAGGGTATTTTGGGGATCATGGCCTGTGCCTAGATAACCTGAAATGGCGTCAAAATCAACAGAGAGACAAATGCGGATTCGTCGTTTTCTTGTCGCTGGAGTCAAGGAGGCGGGTATGGTGGCCATCCGGAGCGTGGATTCCTTTTTATTGTTTCCCAAGACTTGCTCCTCTCGCCAGATGATCCGGCCTTCCATCCCACCGTCGACGGAAATGCATTCTCCGGAGATATGGCCAGCTGCACGGTGGCTAGCCAAGAATGCCATAGCTCGTGCTACGTCTTCGGGCTGTGCGATCTTCTTCAGCGCAACCGTCGCCTGACATTCTGCCCACATCTCCCTCGGATCGTCCAAGCGATCACCAATGAGAGAGGTATTCACCCATCCGGGTGCGACGGCATTGATCCGGGCTTTGGAGTTCAGGCGAACAATTTCGTTCTTCACTGTGCGAACGAGACCGTATTGGAGGCCCGCCTTGCCAGATGCATATCTGCCAGAAGTTTAGCATCTCCTAGAGGAGCTTCTTGAAATACCTGTCGACTCACTCTGCATGTCCTTCTTGGCCAAACTTCCCGGTCTCGGAGCCAGTGATGACAATGGAAACATTGTCAATTTCGGCTCCCTTTGCCTCTTGTGCCGCCTTCACCGAGAGTAAGAAATGCTTGACCGTCAGAAAAGTGCCCTTGACGTTATTGCCATTGACCTATCGTGACATAAGCAAAAGGTTCTAGGCCATACCCCCTCGAGAAAAATTCCAGACCTTGTCCCACAGACTCTCCTTGATTTCCCATATCGGTGGATGGGAGCTTTCATCCGTGATGCCCGCATTGGCTATCAAGATATTGAGTGCGCCAAAGTGGTCGGTCGCAGCTTGGAATGCTTCAGCGACAGACTTTTCAGACGTCAGGTCACCTTGAGTCGTGAAGAGCCTGGACAAGTGCTCTGGAGATGAACAAAGCGTTGATTTATCGATCGATCTGCGGTCAAAGGCCGTGACACGACATCCAAGAGCTGAGGATGACTATCAACACGCCGTTTTCGAAGCATCTACTTCTTGGGAGAGCTACCTACCGAGAAATTCTTTCACCGCGGCACCTCCAATTCCACCAGCTGATCCGGTGACGAAAACATGAAGACCCTCGAGTCCAAGAAACGAGCTCGACCCTTCAGCCATATTGGATGTGGACGTTTACAGCAGCCTGGATGATGATCCTCGTCCTGAGGCGCACAAAGGGCATGCGTGAATTTGACGCATATCCCATCAATGTCTCAAGCGGATATGTGCGTCTGGCACTCGAGGCTGAGAATGTGGAGGTGACAAAGACGTCTTAGTCGTGGTCGTAGCCCCCCAATAATAACCTAAGATACCGCCATGGACGCCCATTTGATACAGCCCAATATCGAACGGCTTGTCGTCCACTCGGCGGGGAAAGTTTCTTCTAAGGTCATACCACGGCTGGTAGTGGTGGAGGCCAAATAGTCGGTGCTTGGCCTCGTGGATGTCCAGGATTAGGGCTTTTCCCTCCTGCCTCATCAAATTTAGCTGGTTTCGAGAAAGAAAAAAATGGTGGAGATGGAGTGCCTGACGATCGATTTTTTACTTGACATTATTTGGTGTCAGCTATCTCTCTCTCCGCACGATTCCCTATCTCGACTCCTGGTTCGAATTATCGCTTGTTTCCAATTTTGCCAATCGAATCCTGGAAGTCGTCGCCCTCGTGGCTCGGCCGGCGATTGAGAGACAAAGCACCTGGCCAGGCCAAGGATCGCGGACTTGAGCTCCCTACTGGCTATCATCCGGTATCTGTCCCCATGCGCAGATCCGAGTTCCCTTGCCATCAAAAACATGGCAGATGTGCTGGGCGAGATGCGCCTATCAGACTGCCTATCTCCCAAGGATGCCGATAGAGTAGTCGAGTACCAGGTAATATATATCAGCCTGGAGTTTCTTGTTTCCTTTCTCTTTCTCTGTTATTTTTTGGCCCCAAAGAGCCTTTACAGTAAGTGACAAGCACCAATATGGCGACCGTGGGTGAAAAGAAAGACGCCGTTCCAAGCGAGGTCGCGACTAGCCCTCCATCCGACAATACAGATAACCCAGAAGCGGGTGTTTCTGAACTTATCAATGCATCTGGTCATGTACAGGAACTTGAACGAAACTTCAGCCTTCTCGCCGCTGCTGGTGTGGGACTCGTAGTCGGCACTGTCTGGCCCGCTGTTGGAGGGTCAATCCTTGTCGCTATCTTTAACGGCGGCCCTCCCGGAGTCATCTACGAGTTCATTGCAGTTTCGGTCTTCTATTGGATAGTGGCTGCATCTTTGGCAGAGTTGGCTTCAGCTATACCTTCCAGTGCCGGGGTTTATCATTGGGCTTCAGTCACTCCAGGCAAGACATGGGGTCGCGTGGTTGGGTATGCTCCATCTTTAAAGACTTGGTTGAACCAATGAGCTGACCGTCTGGATGAACAGATTCTATGCTGGATTCTGGAACTGGCTGGCCTGGGTGTTTGGTGCAGCCTCAATGAGTTCTATCCTTGGTTTGTGGTCCGTCCTGTTGTTGAACGGCATAAATGCTCATGCTCTCCAGCGAACACATTTGTGCAGATGTATGCTCTGGACCACCCCGACTTCATTGCGAAACGATGGCATGTCTTTGTGACATACCTCGTAAGTCAATTACTGCCACCAAGGCACCGCCCTTTCAAGGCCAGCATCGGCTAATGATGATTTAGATCGTAACGTGGATTGCATGCTCCTGCGTGTGTCTGTTTAACAAGGCGATGCCGTATTTGAACACCGTCGGCATCGTCCTTCTCTTATGCGGTTTCCTAGTCACGATTATTGTCGTGTGAGTCTCGCTATCAATCTGAGAGAAGGGATCAAACTGACCATTTCCAGCGCTGCAATACCGGGATCGGGCAACCACCCACCACACGCCTCGTCTAGCTTCGTCTGGAGCGAGTGGACTGCAGATATAGGATATCCCAATGGATTTGTCTTTGTCGCTGGAATGTTGAATGGCGCATACTCTGTCGGCACTCCGGATGCTGTGAGGTTCGTTTAATCAGCATAGAGTACGACCATGAGATATATGGGAAACTAATCTTACGCTGCAGTCATATCGCCGAGGAGGTCCCATATCCTAGCAAGAACATCCCAATCGCCATCGGCTTACAAATGAGCATTGGGTTCGTCACTGGAATCTGCTACATTATCGCGCTCGTAAGTTCTCGATCTACTTGGCAGTCTGTTGTCTGTTGTTGCTGACAGATCAATTGCAGATGTACGCAATAAGCGACTACGATGCTCTGTTCAATGCACAATTCCCACTTGCCGAGATTTATCGACAGGCCACTGGTTCGGCTGGCGGTGCCATTGGGCTGTTGTGTCCCTTCCTCTTCTGCATCGCAACCTGCTTGGTGGGAGTATACATCACGGCCGGTAGAACACTATGGACGCTCGGTCGAGACAATGCCACTCCCTTCCCTCAATATATTGGAAAGGTATCCAAGAGGTTAGAAATGCCTCTGAACGCCACTCTTGTGTGTGGTTGTCTGGTTACCGTGCTGGGCTGGTGAGTGTTTTTGTCCGCATTGCGTGATCTCAGTTAACAATGGACGATGCAGCATCTACGTCGGGAGTGCTACGGCCTTCAATGCATTTGTGGGGAGTTTCGTGCTGATGTCGTCGGGAAGGTAATTCAAGAAATCCACCAAACGCGATATGCGCGACCAGATTCACTAACACGAAAATAGTTACATCGCAGCAATCCTGCCTCACCTCCTGACTGGCCGCAAGAACGTCAAATTCGGTCCGTTCCACCTGGGAAAATTCGGTGTCGCGATGAATACGATCGCGTGCGGGTACATGATCGTGTGGTTCGTGATATACTGCTTCCCCTTTGCTCTGCCCACGGACGCGGAAACCATGAACTATGCCTGTTTGATCTGGGGAGGTCTGACGACTTTTGTCACGGCGTGGTGGTTGCTTGGTGCCAGAAAAGACTATGTTGGACCCAAGCCCGCTGGAGGTGTCGAACACGAAGTTGAGCACATGAGAAGACCTAGCAGCGTAGAGAAGCGAGCCTCAGTCTAGATGTTGGTATTAGTATAGATAGTCTTTAATCTTGTTGCATTATCAAATCGAGTTGCGTGACAAGATTTTGATCGTGGTTCTGAATGCTGTGAATCGCTTAGGCAGGTATGTGCAGCCACAGCAGGGGCCTAACAATGCGTGTCGTGCTATTCCACTTTCGGAAAAGTGCAGATTCGCTATTTTCACGTGACTAAGACATCTTGGCAAGAATTTATCCCACAACTAAAAATCGAGCCTCCACAAGATCGCAGCAGTACGAGTGATCCGTCTCAAACTCGACAAGTCCACACAAAATCAGCTCGTCAACATGTCCGACAACGGCGAGGTTGAAGTCGAAAACCCAACCTCAGGTTGGCCCGTCCTGCCCAAAGATGTCATGCAAGAGATTGGGAGCGTGAAGCTCTTCGGGCGCTGGAGTTATGAGGATGTCGAAGTCAGAGACATCTCATTGACGTACGAAAAGCCCATTTCCGGACACCGATAACAGCGCAGGAAAGAAGAGTGACTGACAAGATCATCTGTTGAACAGCGACTACATCCAAATCCGATCCCCCGTCTACATCTCGCACTCCGCGGGTCGATATGCCGCAAAGCGTTTCCGAAAGGCACAATGCCCCATCATCGAACGACTGACCAACTCCCTGATGATGAACGGTCGAAACAACGGCAAGAAGCTGATGGCTATCAGAATCGTGGCACACTCATTTGAGATCGTACGTGTTGTTTTACAATTCCAGAAAAATATCTATACAAGAACGACATCTGACTCGATTTTTTCCGTCTCTTTAGATCCACATCATGACCGACCAGAACCCCATCCAAATCGCCGTCGATGCCATCGTCAACTGTGGCCCTCGTGAAGACAGCACCAGAATTGGTAGCGCCGGTACAGTCCGAAGACAAGCCGTCGATGTGTCCCCTCTCCGCCGTGTCAACCAGGCCATCGCCCTGCTCACCATTGGCGCCCGCGAAGCCGCATTCCGAAACGTCAAGAGCATTGCCGAGTGCCTTGCCGAGGAGCTGATCAACGCTGCCAAGGGAAGCAGCAACTCGTACGCCATCAAGAAGAAGGACGAGTTGGAGCGTGTGGCCAAGAGCAATCGGTAAAGCGGTTAATGGGATATGGATGGTTGTTACCTCAAAGATCCGGAGATCACACATGGTCCTACGACTTGCATTTCATGGCAGTCACTTCAAGCATGTCGATGATACTGTAGTCATCGTCCGCTTTTGGGGAAGGGAGGGGAGCATCAATCGAAAGTTTAGCACACGCGCGACTGTCCCATGGGATTAGCAGACTTGCAGATTCAGCGCATAGATGATGCCGAATGTCCACAAAAATTTCGAAATGGCATGAACGTTTTGACGATGCGGAGTTCGTTCCCGTTTTACTGTTCGGCCCTCTTTGTTCGAGTAAACGATGACTAACTGTGCAGTTCTGTCCGTCTTTTCAGCTTTGCACGTATTACGGCCACAGCGGGATTGCAGCCTGTGTTTCAACAAGGCGATTGCAGATGTGTTTTAAGACAGAAAGTACGACCGGGGATATGATGAACCAAGTTCAGATCGCTGGAATCTCGCTATAAAAAAAACTATCTTTCGCCATGTACCCATTTCCTCTCAATACCATGCACGCATTCTTCCACCAGGTCAGAGGGTATCTCTGACAAGGTATATGGATGCTCTGAAACCGAGCAGGTTTCCTTGACTTGTTCGTTGCCGTTGTTGTCTGTATTTTGACTTGTCCCTTCTCTGTGCCGGTCGATTTTCCTTGGTTTGCTTATCACCTGGCACGAGTCGTCCAGGTGTTCTGCGTCTGCAAACCGGGCTGCCGCTGAGGGGTGACCATCAATTTGGAAAATCGTATGGACTTGAGGAAGTTGTTCATTATTATCCCAAAGGTCCCATTTCTTGATCCTTGTCTCTAACGTCCCCGCTTCTCTCTGCTGAAAAGCCTCAAAGAAGTATCGGAAGGGGCCTGCCCTCGTGATCTTGTACCGACCGGGTGGGGGTTTTATATCTCTCGAGGATGGCGATGTGAAGGCCTGACTTCCCCAAAGAGCTGCATCATGTTTCTGGAGCGTACCTCCCTCATATACGCTTCCTGCTCGGGTAGCTTGACGTTAAATTTCCCTTCGTTCGGATCTTGCCCACCGAACAGCCTCTGGAAGGCAAAGCCCATGGTGACGAAAGCCGCAGCACCTATGATGACCAATAGGACGACAATCTGATCCGGGATACCCATGGTGAGTTTATTCTTTAGATAGATCGCGAGTCGAACAAAGAGGCAATAGGCGCAGAGTTGATTGCTTGTGATGTTGTGTTGGGCGGACTTTGGTCTTTACTTCCAGGTTTGGACGAGTGAATGGTTTTGGGCTAGCGACAGGAGATTTGTCAACGTATAAGTACAGAAAGAGATGGACTTGACAACTGGAGCGAGTGTAAGTATGCAACTGCAGAAAGAGAGAGAAAAAAGAAGCCTATTATTTGGACACCGCAGGTGTACCCATCGGATATCTGTCCTTCATATATACTGCTCGCAAGCGCAATTTCAACGCGGTACCATGGCGAGTGCCATCAAGCGCACTGTCTCAGAGGGTGGCAACCCGTCCTTTTGCGGTCCATGCATTGACAGCGTGCAAAACAAGGTTGGATGCTTTTCATTTTCCATTACTATTCCTGCTGAACCAAGGCCCTAGAAGCCAGGGCCCGTTGATATCGAAAGCCTAAAACGGGAAAGTGCCTATCCACGCGCTAACCTGGTTTGATCGAGAACCCGAGCGAGTCGAATCGTCAAAGGTGCTGGAGATCCACTGAAGTCTCGGATATCCCACACGACCCCCCTTGGGAGCACAAGGTTGGGAGGACCGCAAGTTCCAGCGCAGGTTCGTACAACCGGACCAACTGCGGATTTATTTTGGTCTGACCAGCGGTTTCGGCTGATTTCAAAGACGTTCAGGGGAAATTCATTCATGTCAGACCCTCCATTGAACGGGCTTGTGTGTTCCCACGTTTGGTGTTTGGGCTCTTTGTTCTCGTTCCTTTGACACCACAGCCATTCTCCCATGCTGCTGAGCCAGACTGTTTCTCCAGTAATTAATTGGTCGATTGTTGTCCAGACTGCGCACGCCACCCCGATGAGCTCTCGTCGAAACGGTCAATCAAAATCCAAGACTGGATGCTTGACCTGCAAGTAAGTTGTCATGGTTGTTGTGTTGCGTACAATTTTTCTCGGCCAGGGTACTGATCCATCATATAGGATCCGTATGTCTCCCTTTTCCATGACCAGTCGGCATATGGCGTGGAATCTTGCCGCTAGAACTATCAACAGCCGTGCAGACTAACAGTCGAGTTCCAGGTAAGATTAAGTGCGACGAGTCGCAACCATACTGCAGAAAATGTACCGAGACAGGTCGAAAGTGCGAAGGTCCTGTCGGTCGCCACATTCGCTTTGCGGAGGATGAGCTATCGCCTCCGAGGCATCACGCCCTGCTAGCTGAGCTCTCCCTGCACACACCACAGCGGAGCCATGATGAACGGTGGGCCTTCAATTATTTCATCTGGCGAGCGGCTCCATTATTTGCTGGAATCGTCGATGGGCCATTTTGGCTCGAGTTGATCCCTAGGCTTGCCCAGTCGTATACCTTTGTCTGGGACATGGTCATCACGATTAGTTGGGCTTTTGAGCACGTCGAATATCGAGACCTGAGGCCTGTTTTCGACACAGGCGGCTTAACTACTACTATTCTCAACGCCGAACACCGCCGCGCTTTAAAGTGGTATTCTAAAGCTCTTGTGGGGTTTCGTCGCATGCTCGAGCAAGGCGAGGCGGATAATGTACATGGGCTTTTGAGCTGCATCCTGTTTGGCGCCTTTGAGTTCCAGCAGAGGAACATTGGTAACGCACTACTCCTAATGGACAATGCGTACAAGATGCTAGGCGAGAACCTCTCGAATTCTCCGGCCAAGCAGATTACCGGAGACACTGGCCTCGACGAGTTATTGACGGCATTTACCTCGCGAAAGGCGATCCTCATGGCCACCCTCGCTATCCCAGAATGGACGTTGCTTTCAGGACAACATATCTCGGGACCTACTAATGTCAGGACTTTATCTGTCCTCGATAAATTCAGAGTGCATCTATACATGCTCATGTACAAGGCCTACGAGGTTGTCCGGGTGACAGATATATTAGCACACGATGATTATGAGTTGAAGAAGTTGAGGCCGGCACAGCAGCGATGTCTCCAAGAATTGCAACGATGGAACGATGCCTTCCTACCTATCTTGGCTAGCTTGCGAGATACTGAGAAAAGGTGGATGTGGATTTCCTCCTATCTCCTGATGTATTGGGGTGTTAGTCATGTTTGGCTATCCAGCTGCCTGAGCCCATATGAGGTGTCTTTTGACAAATACATGGACGAATTCGCGGCCATTATTCAAAACGCGGAAGACGTTATCGACCACGGCGCAGCAGACGAGATCAACGGCGCAATATTCACAGGAGAAGTCCAAGTCCTCCTACCACTGTATTTTGCAGCTACGAAATGCCGTGATGCGCTTCTACGCAGGAAAGCTTTACGTCTGATACGAAAGGTCCCTCCCCGAGAAAGTGTCTGGGCGGCCCTTGCGTCTCCGCGAGTGGTCGAAAAGATGATAGCTGTGGAAGAAGGCCACGACGATTTCCTCGAACATCCTTTACCAACCTCGATCATCTCCCTGCCACCAGAGGAGCGCCGAATACACTACGTTGCTATTATCGAGGGAAACGTGAACGAGGGCCGGCGACACGTCAAATTGCAGTGGCATAAAGCTGTATTCGGCGTCGATGGATCATTAAGATTGGTAGACGAGAGTGTCTGGCTAGAAGATATCGACGAGAATCCTCAGGATCTAGCACTACCAGGCTCAGTGTGAAGATGTGGCCGTCGAAGAACATCCTCGCAGGGACTTCCTGTTCGAGGATCCAATTCCGTAACATGTCCTGCTCAGGGGACTTGCCCTCTCAGGCTTACGCTATGCGCCTCGGCCAGCTAACACATAGTCGTGCCCGATAGTGCGCCATTGGTGGCTTGCCCATTGCACAAGTGTTTGTCATATGAAATGGCCTGATAGTTGCATCGCTGGCGACTATGTGGGAGTTCAATACCCTTTGTATCATCACTGGGAACCAATCTCCACAATTGGGAATATGGCGAGGCCTTACCGATACTGGCACGGGCACTGGCACCGGGTGTACCCTCAGAGTGATGTGGATCATCATTGTATATCCTGCTGATTAGCCTGCCTCCCTTTCTGTCGACCGCACGCATAAAGAAGTATGACGGGACAGGTCCCCTTTCCACCAACACATTCGGGCATGTATTTCTGATCTGCTGGAGGAAATGATGGTTCAAGGAATGTGTTTTTTGTTTTTGGGTAACGGTGATGAAACTTGTACATACGATCTGGCAAGACTGAGTAAACCTAGCGGCGCTTTGTGTGGGAGAGGAGGTTTCTATTCTATGCGTAGAAGGAAGGAGGGATCAGGGTCTGTGCTACACCTGCCATTCGAGACAGTGGTATTTTCCTATTCTTGTTGGCTGTATTGACCATGTGACTATTACCTACATCTGTGTCACTGGTGTCCAATGGCTCTCTCATTAAATAGTATGGTGGACGTAAATTTGGTGTCAGACTGCGCTGCCTAGCGCAGTTCGCATTTGCAATAGGCGTGCCTTGTAGGGAGCTGTCTTTGTCAGACGATTTGACTTATCGTTGAAGGCTTGATCTAATCAAGATTAGATCTCTCTCTCAAAAAAAAGTTCCGCAACCAAAAACCCCACTGGCGGTTCACTGTCACCATTTGGCGAGATTTTGCACGCTTCACTTCCCAATTGACCGTGTGGAGGCCGCAAGAAGAGAGGATTACAAAATAGGAACAATGGGCAAGCGAAAACTCGGGGCGCTCGAAAAGGTCGACGCAGATCTCGCCAACCTACAGAACAAGATCAAACGGGACCCGAAATCCTACCACACCGACTTCCTGCACCAGTACATCCAGTATGAGAACCAGCGACAGATCTTCATGCAGGCGCCAACGTCGGCCACGGCCAGTAGCGGCGGCGTCATCTCCTTCCGCGACCTGATCGAGTTCGTGGCGCACGTGGCCGATTGCTACAAGGAAGAGACGAGAGATTTTCCCAAACAATTGATCGAGATGCTGTCGACGCAGCATGCGACGCTGGAGCCCGAACTGCGGGAGAAGATCGTGGGCAGCCTGGTACTGCTGCGCAAGAAGGAGATCATCGACTCACACACCCTACTGCAGTGTTTCTTCCCCGTCCTCACCACCACGCCCAGCAAGTCGCTGCGCGCGCTGCTGTTCACGAAGATTCTGAGCGACCTGCGGTCGGCTAACTCCAAGACGACGAACCACAAACTCAACCGCAGCGTACAGACGACGCTACATAACCTGGTCACGGACGACCGGTCGTCGCCCAAGGCCCTCTGGGCCGTCAAGATCACGCGAGAGATGTGGAAGCGCCAGATCTGGACGGACGCAAAAGCCGTCGAGATCATGAAAGAGGCGGCGCTCGCCGATAACGAGAAGTGCGTCATAGGGGGCCTACGTTTCTTCTTAGGCGGTGATAAGGAGCGAGAAGAGTTAGAAGACGAGAGCTCCGACGAGGAAACAGTCGATATTAGCAAGCTACGGCATCAGATCGGCGTCAATAAGAAGAGCAAGAAGACAGAGAGAAAACTGGAAAAGGCCGCCGCTATCGTCCGCCGCAAGGAGAAGAAGAAAGGCCAGCCTCATCCCTTAAACTTCTCAGCGCTACATCTCTTACACGATCCACAAGGGTTTGCCGAGACCTTGTTCTCAAAGCATCTACAGAGCGCAAAGTCAAAGCTGAACCTCGAACAAAAGCTGCTGGCGTTACAGCTAGTGTCGCGACTAATCGGACTGCACAAGTTGACCGTCATTAGCTTCTACTCCTACTTCCTCAAGTATTTGACTCCTCGACAGCCCTCGGTCACATCGTTTTTGGCATCGCTAGCGCAGTCCACGCATAATCTTGTGCCGCCGGATATTCTGGAGCCCTTAATACAGAAGATCGCCAACGAATTTGTATCTGAAGCCGCTGCTGGAGAGGTAGCCGCGGCGGGATTGAATGCCATTCGCGAGATTTGTGTGCGGCAACCATTAGCTATGAATGATACCCTACTACAAGATCTGGTCATGTATCGGAAAAGCAAGGATAAAGGGGTGATGATGGCTGCGAAAGGTCTTTTGAGCCTCTACAGACAAGTAGGCGCTGAAATGCTTCGAAAGAGAGACCGTGGGCGAGACGCAACCCTAGGCTTGAAGTCTGGGGAACAGAAACAGCCGAGATTTGGTGAAGAGGCTGTTGGTGAGATTGAAGGGTTAGAGCTCCTGGAAAAGTGGAAGGAGCAGGAGAGGCAGAGAAGGAGACTGGAAAAGGGTCTCCCCGCAGCCGCTGGCTCTGAGGACGAGGAAGAAGGACAAGAAAGCGACGAGGAAGACTGGAATGCTTGGAACATCGAAGAAGACGCAGACAGCGATGATTCAGGAGGGTGGATCAACGTCGAGAGTGACGACGAGATAAACATCAGTGACAGCGAGGACGAGGAGCCCTCAGCAAAGAAAGTGCGGTTTGCTCCGCCAGCGTCCGCCAGCGACGACAAAGAGAACGAAGGCGACGAAGCTACTGACCTAACGACAGCACAACAGAAATCGAAACTGGCCACCACTCGGATATTGACGCCTGCAGATCTGGCCAAGTTACAAGAACTTCGAACGACTGCCTCAGTCTCATCGCTCATGAAGCACAAATCACATCACGCATCAACCACATCGTTACAGACTAATTCGCAACGACACATAGACGACCCTCTCACAGCCGCCGAGATCGAAGGTCTAGCTTCGCTCTCTCGCGGCAAAGCGACTCGAGCTCAGAAGCTGGCCTTACTGCAGGAACATAAAGATGACCGCGAGGCACACAAATCTAAAGCCGCCCGCAAGAAGGAACGTAAAGAGTCTGAGGGTAAGAGCACAACAAACAAGGAGAAGGCTCGTAAAAAGAATTTCTTGATGACACTGGGTAAGGCCAAGTCCAAGGGGAAGAGGAGTTTAGTCGAGCACCGGAAGATCTTGAGAGCGCATGCTGAACGAGGCAAGAAGGGAGGGAGACGAGGCAATAGAGGATAGACACAACCAGTGTCTGGCCTGGCAAATAATGAAGCCATCGAATCCTTCGTTCTGCATACCAAGAACCTCGTACAGCGCCCATTGTCAGCAAGGAAAAGACCAGGCAGGTAAACGTGCCAGGCATATACATTGTGCTGGGAATATGGAGCACGAGTAATCTCATCCCAACCCTTTTTTTTCTCTCCTCCTCTTCCTCGTTGGATGCCTCAGCCCACTTTTTTCCATGAGAGCAAAACTGTCAAACGTCGAAATTGTCCAGCCACGATGATGTGCCATCCAATGAAAAAGTGGTCGCGTAAAGTGCTTGAGTGGGCAGTGGGAAGTTTCGCGTCTGGTGGCGTCAGTTTCGTGTCAGCAACTTCGGGCGCAGGGATTTTCAAGAAGGGGACAACAACACCAATCAACCGTCGGCCAACTGTCAACCATGCCAAAACCATGCCAAAACCAGGGGAACACGAGTTCGGTCATGGAGGGGACAAGGGAAAAGAGTTGACTGCCCAGGTGTGCAGTATCCAATGGCTGCTGCGCAAAATGCCCAGCCCTGCCCAGCCCCGGACTTTTGCTCTGGCGAGTCCGCACACTAGGCCTGAAACTCGGTGGTTAGCGGCGGGAGCGCAGCCACTATTAATATCGCCATGCATGACAATTTTAGGGGGGCAATCAAGCCCCCCAGCCTCCCAGCCTCCTTCAGCCGCCTTTTCTCGCTGGAGGGGAAGGTCGCAGGCCTGACTGTTTAGGCCACAATTTCACCAGGAAAAGGCAAAAAGAAAGAGGCTTGAGAGGGCAAAACGGGGAGACCCATGCTAACATTTTAACATTCTAACAGGGACCCCTGGTGGCCCTGGTCAGTGCTGGTTGCCTCGCACTGAGTCTCTCGCCTCCTCATAGGATACTGTAGCTAACTACGCCCTCTCGCTCTCCTCCTCTCGCTTGAGTGCTTGACGATCCAGTCGCTCCGGAAACATCGATAAGCCGCCGATAAAATCCATCCCCTCTTACAGTAGTGGCAGTCGTACAAAGATCCAATTGCTGCACGGCACTGTTGCCGGACTCCAGAGTTGGTTGCGCATTCGCCCTCATTTTAGGTTTTAACTTTGACACCTGCATCTCCTTCATCTCCTTCTTCAATCAAGCTCTTTGCTCCCCTTTCCTTTACTTTCTCAACTCTCACTGTCTCTCTCAACCATCTCACTCTCATTCTTCACACTTATTCTTGACCTTCAATCTTGCCCACCAGCATCAGCTGCCTTGATTCACATCGTTAATACCTAGTCCACCCCCCTCATCCTTTCGACGCCTTGCTATTCACTTAGTAGGGAGGGACCCTTTCGTCGAGCAATCCACACGCTCCATTCGCTTTCAATCTCACCGTTGACCAAGATCGACACACCACTTTATACCTGCACCTGTACCTGCACCCGTTAGCCTTGAGCTCACTTGTCAGCTCAGCTCCCCCCTCCACAGTCGTTTCTCGTCGGTGTCCTCATCACCACCACCCCATAACCACAAAATGGGTCTGCCGCAAGACTTTTCCATCCCGGTGCCTTCCATTGAGTCGGATTCACCCCTCTCCAAGCGTCGTCGCTTCATCCCCAACACGCTGCCACCGATCATTCCTGTTACAGACAACTCGGATATTGAACAACACACCTTTGACTCTCCATTGCTCTTGCAGCTTTGCGAACAAGCCCCTGATCAGGAGGAAATCGAGGCAGGTCTTCTCCAGGTCGGTATGCGCGTCAGGAAGGCCGTTGCTGAAGGATACAAGACCCAAAAGAAATTCACCCCTCGGCCCTTCTTCAACATGCACCGGCTTTCCCCCGAGACCCAAGCTGCCCTGTCCGCTAGCAACGCCGATACCACCAACGAGATTTCCCCTTATGCGGCGGGACAGGTCCAACCAATCAGCACGGCCACTTTTTGCGGCATCAGCCTGGCCTACCTCTCTCACCGCAGCGAGGATTGGTCAGAACCCTCCATTGCCCAACAGAGTCTCTGGTCTTATTCCACCAGCCACAAGCGTTCCTACGAGGCCGATTCCGACAGCGACGAGAGTCAAGACTGGCAACCCCAAACCCCGAGCTTGATGGGCGATGCGGGTATGCACATGCCGGTTGATTACTTTGCCATTGATGTTGACAACATGACCGATGTCAACCACATGACGGAGATTGGTGACCGTGCCAGGCAACATTTCAATGGTCGCCGTATGGCTCTGCCAAAGAGTCGCAGCCGATTCTTCCAGCAACCCGAGACACAAATGCCGCCTTCCGCGGCTGCCAATCCATTCGCCAACATGATGGGTCAACTCCCCGCAACCCCATCCGCCCATTCTCATGGTCACAAGAGAATGGTGAGCTGTGGTATGGAGGCCGCCATGGATTTTGGTGAGGCTTCCTTCCTGCAACGACGAGAGGACGTTGAAATGGACTGCTCTTGAAACGCCCAAGAAAAGAGATCGCCTTTTTTAAACCAGCATTTGACGATTGTGTTATTTTATGTTTTGCATTGTTTTATGAAATTTTGTCCTTTTTAAAAAACGAGCAGAGATGCGTCGACGGAAATGCATTCGGACGGCCGCAACTTGATATGGCCAGGACATGCGAATCGGACGAGCATGAGGAGACGGGGTTTGAATAATGGTTGGGGACCATCTCAACCATCCTGGCCAACGCTGTAACATATTGCGAACTGTCATCAATATTTGGGTGGGGATATGGGAATGAAAACACTGTATATACGGACAGGTATGGGGCTCATAACTCAACTGTGGGTCAAGCCATGTAAGAGATGGAGGGGAGTGCGAAGGAGGGCCATGAGCTCTTGTCGCTGGGAGAAAGCTGGATTTTGCAGGAGTCGGCGCACACTGCAATAAGAAGTCTTGCATACCTCGTGCCATACATGATGACACGATGGAAAATCGATTTAGCTAGATAATCAAGAATAAAAACATGATCGGAACTGAAAACAGAGTCGTTTCTAAACTTCACCGCAATTTAGAATCATCGTAGATGTTGGCACGTGATGATGGGAAAAAGTGGAAAAGGTGGAAAAACTCCACAGGTGACGAACTTGCGGATCTCTTGGATTTACTTGGCTTTTGATGGTTTCTCATCACATCATCACATATAAATCCGCTCGCAGACTTGAGTGGGAAGTCTCGTCTTCAAATGTGGCGGCGAGGTTGACTCGCTCAGACGATCAGAGGACGCACTATGGGCTCAGCAACCGGGGAAAGAGGTCGGGATCCGTCCCACTCGTCTGCTCATCACGTTGCTTCGCTGGAATGACAGCCTTGGAGGTCAGGTGAGTGACAACAACAGGCAACAACACCAGTGGCGTTTCCAGGAATCGAAAGATGCAGGCATACCTTGGTCGAGAGACATGGTCGCTCGCAGGCACCCTGGCAGTGTGAATCACCATGGTGAGACAGGGGCTGGCCAGACGCCTTCAGACCGACCCTTTTCTATTGGCTGTATGCGACAAACACTCTCGCCAAACAGGCCGTGAGCGATAAAGATAACAGGACTCCTGAATTCACGACTGAGTCGAGGTAGCACGAAAGGGAGCCAATTTCAAAGTCGTCGCCTTTTCCTTATCACCTATTTTATCACGATGAGGTCGAACCTCTGTTGTCGTCGCTGTTTTTCCTTTCAGGTGTGCGTTTTCATGGATTCGCTCAGGCTGCGCTCTCTTGATTTCCTAGCCGGCTATCAAACCATTCGGTCCAGACTGGGCTATTCTGTGTTGGCGAGATAAATCTACGATGTCTACGATCACCCTGCCCGACTTCTCGCTTATCCTTCAAATGAGGGGGTTGCCCGCTCTTGACCCGGTATACAAGTACACACCCCTACCCGTCGAAGGCTGGACGAGGATCTTGGTACTGCGCCCTGGATTCGCTGGTGATGATCTCTCGTGCAGTCTTCAAGTCTGGAAAATTGAGGACGCTGCCAGGGTAGGGTTCGACGCTCTATCTTACGTCTGGGGAGATGACAAGGGACAAAAAATCCAATGCGACGGTGCTACTCTCCATATCCGGGATAACCTAGCCTGTGCACTGAATCATCTTCGTCATGATCGGAAAGCAAGGTTTCTTTGGGTAGATGCCATGTGTATCAATCAGGAAGATCGAAAAGAGAGATCAGAGCAGGTAAGTCAACTCGTTCGGAGTGAGTGAGGTTTTACTGTCCTGGCCGCTTTCCTCCTGACACCAAGCGGTAGGTTCAACAAATGGGTCAAATCTACGCGAGCGCATCGAGGGTCCTCGTCTGGATAGGCCCCGACGTCAATCACGAAGCGAGGGAGTGCTTCTCTCTGATACAAGCCACTGCTACCCTTCTCTCCGACATGGTTTCTGAACATGGCGACGTCAATTTGTTCCCTCCTATTACACGCGAGAGCCAAAAGATCTGCTCAGATACTCCCAAGTGGGATATGGTCCGCCGGTTGATGGACTCGGAGTGGTTCTCCCGGGTTTGGGTGCTCCAGGAAGTCGGCTTGGCTCGATCCGCTGTTTTGCTCTGTGGCAACGCGTCTATGAATTGGGCTTACCTGGTGGAATTGATGCTTATCGTCGCCTCGCGTGTCGATGTCGGCGCGTTGATGGGAAATGTCAAATCGGGCATGTTCTGGGACTTGTTTGATGACCTCTGGCGGACATATGGAAACGAGCTGTCCTGGAGAAAAGAGTTCCCCATGTGCAAAATCTTGAGTTGCAACGAAGCTCACGTGAGCTTTATTAACATTCTGAACGACGGACGGTCCTACATGGCTACCGATCAACGTGATCGTGTATATGCCTTCCTCAGTCATCCTAGTACGGCATGCGGTGCTGCAAAAGAGAAAAGACTAGTGGTCGCCAACTACAATTTGTCCGTTGACGAAGTCTACTTTCACACCGCGGAGGCGATTCTTTACAACGACCCATATCCATGGACGGTCCTTACTTGTATTGACCACACCGCAGATTCTTCCTCACTCGATGGTCTGCGCACGTCGTGGGTTCCGCGCTGGGACGAGGGGTGGCGGGTGTATTGGTTGGGCTATCCGGAGATGTGGTATCGAGCTGGTGGATCCAAGTCAGCGCCATTTCGATTTGATGTTTCCCAGTCCGACTCGTCTCTACGCGTGACAGGTGTAATCTTGGACTCTATCGAGTGGACATCCAGGGTATTCGACTCGCAGGAACTTCTACTGGAGAACCAGAAGGAAAACAAGCTATTGCAGAAGTTGTGGCAGGACTTGGAGCCTGACAGAGGTGACAGCGTTTACGGTAACAGTCATGACGAGCGAGAATTCGCCTACAGCCTCGCCATCGCAGCTGGACGGGCAGCCGACGAAGGCCCAGCTGAAGATAGTCCCACTCATCACCGTGCCATTTATCGGGCGTACAAAGAAATGGTGCTCGGTAAGGCCGGCGATGACCCCGGGATACCACCATTGCCATCGACAGATGAAGAGGTCACGATCCAAAGCGAGCAGGAGTCTCCAAAATCCCTCGAACTCGAGGCCATGACATACGTCAGCAGCAACCAGCGTAGGGCTTTACACAACCGGCGATTCTTCCGAACCTCAATGGGTTACTACGGAGTCGGCCATTTGACTGTCAAGATAGGCGATGAGTGCTGCGTGTTCAAGGGCGCAAATGTGCCATTCGTTGTTCGGAGAGTCTCAGCCGACAGTGGCTCTACCTCCACTCCACACTTGGTCGTGGGTGAATCTTATATCCAAGGAGTCATGAAGGGGGAAATTTTTGAGATGATGGATGACGGCAGGCGTGATGATCTTGTTGAACAGACAATTATTCTTGTGTAAACTAGAGAGAAAGGATGATAAACCTGACAAGGCTGCGACATGCACAAGGCTACCAGTTGCGGGGCCAGCAACGAGCATTTTGACTAAGCATTTCACGTGCCGATAGCCAAGATTGACTTCCCCGTTTTGGGATGTAAACAAAAGAATCCCAGGATATGGGCCTCCTCGTAGTCTACCTGCAGTGCATTCTCATACAGCTCTGACGATAATCCTTCGCTGGTACTACGCTACGTTAATTTGAAACCATGCAAGCCTTATGACAGTGATTCATTCTCTCAGACGGCTTCCTAAAATCATGGACGCCGCTATTCTTGTCGATGACAATAATATGGAAAACAACAACCCTCACATCAGTCCGAACCCGCTCAAATGCCCGCCTGCTACGCCGCTGCACCAGCTTTCGCCAGAGCGGATCAATCAGCAACGCATCCCCCAATCGCCCTCCCTACACAGCTATCTGGTCGAACATGACCGACCCGGCACGCGCGACTCATTTACGTCGGACGTGCAATCGAAAGTCGCCTTTCTGAACAGTCTGGCCGCAACCACCAGTGTCCAATCTTCGCCCACTCGACCCAGAAGACTCGGGGCTGACCTACAGGATAGCTGTAGCGCCACCACCACGCCTAATCAGAATCTGAGTACCAGCAATGCTCTCCAGCGGGCGGTCATGGGATACGAGGAGGCACAGGCGAGCCTGGCCACTTTGAACGCCGAGCTCGAGCGAGCCAGGGAGGAACTGGCGTCCAAGAAGAAACGGGAGAGAATGCTCTCGCAACGTGTCGAGGATCTGTTGGAAGAGGTACAAGCGGAGAAGGAGAAACGGGGTCGGGACCAAGAGTCGTACACGAAGGAGATCAAGAGATGTCGCAAGGAGACATACCGTGCTGAGCTGGCCGTCGTGGAGGCGAGACAGGATCTGCAGGAAGTAAGGGCAGAACTGAAGAAATGCCAGGCTGAGATACAGCACGAGAAGGCGGAGAAGGAGAAGAGCCGTCAAGAGAGTTTTGAGAGGGCGTACGCGTTGGCGGGCATGGTGGGTGAGATGGATCAACTGAAAGACCGGCTAAAAGTCGTGGAAACGGAGAGGGATGCAGCACTCTTGGAGGCAAAAACAAATGCCGTTGAAAAGAAACTAACTGTGGAGAAATGCGTCCAGACTGAAGCGCTTGACGTCCCTAACGAAGATTCAAGGAACCGAGATCACGAAGACCTTGATCAGAGGAATGTCGTTCGACAAGGCGAGAACATTCAGTCTTCAAAGCATTCGGACAAAGACAACCACAGACAGCCCGCCTCTCAGCCGAGAATGGTGCCAGCGTCCGCGTCGACAAGTCGCATCATCCATGAAGCACCTGTTCGACTGCTTCCACAGAAACTGCCAGATTTCGCCTCTGCCATATCCCGCCTAGATTTTTACGATAAGCAGTTGGGAGGAGAAAAGATCACCCCTGAGGAAGAAGTTGAGTTTCTGAAGCAAGAGCTTGCTTGGGCACGGAAAAAACATGAGGAAGATTCGGAGTTGATCCATTTCATGCATATGCAGTGCCAGTTCAAAGCTTGTCCGTGCCGACTGGCTGAGTCGAATGGGGATCGTTTTGTTCATGATCAAGTCTATGATGCAAAGATGCAACACCATCGTGCATCGAAGAAGAGGAAGATTTCAGATTATCCCGAGGAGAACAGGCCAGCTCTTGAGGAAAGCCACGGGAGATGTTCGCAGCAGCCACCCTCAAGCAAAGACATGCCTCCTCAGGGGAAACTGGAAGTTGAGACCACCCCGACAGAAGACAGTGAGCCAGCTACACTCCCACCTGACCCCACGCCAGGGTTTGTGGGTTGGGCATCAGAGGAACCTATGGTCCTCGAACAAGCCATCGAAGTGCCTCTTCCGGAACCAGATCCAATGGAATTGGACTCGAGTAACAACACACTAGAGGCGACGGCGCAATTGGAGGAAATCACACAAGTTTTGGTTGAGCCAGCAACAGGCTCGCAAGCGTTCCTGTTCTCTACGTCTGTTACAAGCAATGCTGGCGTTGCGACAACGGCTCCAGCACTTCGCCACGCTGAGAGTACATCGGCAATTCTTGACCAAGATCTCTTCGATCTCTCGCCGCCAAAACAAGCACCTCCGCGGCGACCTTCAACCGCACTGGGTATCTTGACAGTCGACTCGCCTATCCGACTCGTGCCAGACTCACCGCGGTCTGTCAGGTCCTTTCAACGTGAAACCGTGCGATCTGCCGCAAAGGGACGAAAGCACGCCGCTACACCATCAGTCACCACAACAACCACGACGAAAATCGCACTTAAAGATTCACCATCCCAGGCTAGTCTGCACAGGCGAGCCCAGTCGAAACCCAATATCCGAAGCCACTCACCTCTGGTGACCTCGGTGATGTCTCATTACGATGACGATACCGACGTGCGGTCGATGTACGAAAAGGACTCGTCAGCGTCGCCCGCAGCGAGCACTATATTTCCTGTGACACCTGTGCACAAACATTCGAGGTCAATGCATAATCTGGCTCAGCATGCACAGATGCAGGCTCAACACGCTGTTATCCAGAGCCAAGCTCCGGCGCCAGACGCAGAGGCTGAGAGAAGTCTACAGTCGATTTCTGCCGCCACCACCACAACGACTACGACACGAGTACCACTTCGAGAAGCCGTGGATGCCGATAATGGGATGAGTCCGGAGCACCACATGAGTCGAAATGGATACGATCACGCTCACACCGAGGTCTTGAGTATCAGAATAGACCCCCATACAAGCAGAGAAGCTGTCCCGCAGGTCCAGTCCAGGGTGAACTCACTCGCGAGTTCGACCATGCTCTCTAATGTGCCGGGGACTCCGATCTCACGGGAGGCAGCCCTCGCACAGATTCGGGCACGGAGAGATCGAGCCAGGAGCGTCAATCTCAAGCGCACTGTCGAAGGCCACGGCAAGGGAGTTAACGGCACACGAAGCCCGACGAAGGGTCGGCCAGGAGTGTTGAATGGAAGTGGTGGATTGTTCCAAGTAGTCGGAAAGGAGAATGCGCGACGGGAGATCAGTCAAGCGAGCGCACCTGGACGGCTTGCTTTTTGAGCCAAGGACAAAGTGAGCTAGCTCTCTTATCACATTGCGAGGCTGTCTCAGGCTGTCTCGGCCAGTGTGTAAACAGGCAGGACATACAGGCAGACAGACTTTATTAATCAATGTCTTTTTTGCGGCATTCTTGGATTCATTGCCTTGTTTTTCTCGACATCGTCCTTCTTGTGTAAAGATTTAAGTTGACAGTGTGTCTTCTATATTATATGGATTCGTCCCCAGTCTTCCTCTTCTTTCTCCCCCTTTCTCGCGGACCCATACATACACAGCAAACAACGAAACCAATCATATTAGCACTTTTCCCTTTTCCCGCAACCAGAGCCTTGCGTCTCTACATTTCTTTATGTCATTAGCCGAAACAGACCTTGTCATTCCCCATCTCCTCTTCTAGTCCAGATTGAAAAGGCAGGCACGCACTCACCCACCCATCAACCGCCTAGCCGGACATCTCCATTTCCATGTCCCTCTCCTTCCCTTTTCGCTGATATTTTTGTTTGCTCTAGTTTCGCTTTTGTCGTGGCTAATTATTAATTAGTCACTTTCGCTCTGCTTCGTTAAACACTGACTACTGACCATTAGATTATATTCAACTAGATCTCCTGTGTTTTCTCAGAAGGACAACCCACCGATCCCTCATCAATTACGTATTTTCCCCAGCTCTATCATATTTGTTTCTTTTTCTGGATCAGAAAACCCCCCTCGCCATCTCCAGAGATCCTTCACATCACTTTGCGTGAAGATATCTATTCCATTTGGCGACTGCTACAAGAGTCCTAGAGGTACCACCCAAAAAGTACTACAAACTACAGTGGTGAATGATGGTACACTAGACAATACACCGCAAGACATCCTATATCCTGTATTGAAATCACATTAAACTTCTGTTCGCGCGAGAGATCGAAAGAAAAACGAAGGGGCGGCGGATTCCAAAGGGATCAGTCAGTAACCGTCGATCGCTAACTCCGATATTGACTTCCCACTCCACGAAACTACCAACAACGTTGTCGATCTTGACGAGGTCCACGCGGAGTATATGTGACCTCTGAAGAACCACGGGGGTCGGGTTATTACAGCACTCTTCGTCGACATACCAGCAACAAGCCTCGGGACTACTTTTCGGTCAGGCTAGCTGTTGAGAAATTGTGTGTGAGCGGGCCTAGAAGATCTAAGCGGAAAACAGCGACGACGCCGGTGTCGGGTTGAGACGGGCGATAAGATTGAAAACTCCCCTGATCAAAGAAAGCAGGTGTGAAGGGAGGATATCGACACGCCTCATTCATTGTCTAGCCTTCCAATTATCGATCGATATATCTGGGTCACCGATATTTGGGGTCACCCTTACGCACATCACGGGGCGGAGAAAAAAGGGAGTAAGACGTACTACCTACCTAGGGTGCTATTATTCTAGGCATACTCGGTACACCTGACGAACCCATCTCAACTCACTCCAACCTGATCAAAGAACAGACCAGACCAGCCCACCCCGACAACAATGTCTCCGTCACAGTCTCAAGATCAATCGCAATCGCAATCGCAATCGCAATCGCAATGCTCGACCTCGTCAAAAACCGGCACGCTCTACTTCGCCTACGGCTCCAACCTCTCCGCATACCAGATGTCTCTTCGACTCCAGCACTCGCCCGCGTCGAGCGAACCCGTCGCAATCGCCCGGCTGGACTCGTATGCCTGGATAATCTGTGAACGCGGGTACGCCAACGTGGTCGCACTGCCCAAATCCAACACGGCGTCATCGTCGTCCGACGACGATGAGAATACGGTCTGGGGCGTCTTGTATAATATGGACTCGGTGGACGAGGCCCGGCTGGACATGTACGAGGGCCACAATCATGCCAGAAACCCCAACCCAACAATTAACCCGGACCCAGAGACGCAGATGGTCAAGCGGTACTTGCAGGACGGGTGGGACTATAACAAGCACTACCTCCCCATGACGGTGACGAAGTGGCTGAAAGATCCGGCCGAGCTGGGCATCGACGTGCCGTCGTCGTCATCATCTTCCCTACCACCTACCAACATGACGAACGGCGTCACGAAATCGCACAACGAAACGACCGTCCGCGCGCTCGTCTACGTCGACGAATTCCGCACGACGCCCGGAAAAATCGTCCAGGAATACATCGGCCGGATGAACAGAGCGATCGAAGAGTCTGTCCAGCTGGGCATCCCGCAGCGCTGGGTTGACACGGTCATGAGGAAGTTCATCCCCCCGGGTATCTATGTCGATGAGGAAGGCTACGTCGGCACGGATGAGGGGTACGTCGAGGCCGAGGCGACAGAGGCGGAGGATCATGTCAAGGAGAATGAGCTCAAGAATAGAGACAAGGATTGGGACCGGGAATTGGATGTGCAGGGGGACGCGTGATGTGATATCATATACTATGAATGCGGAAGACGTCAGATTTGAGCAAGCATTAAATTAGATAGATCACATACATCAATTGAGGCGAGAAAGAGAAGGGGGGGGGGGGGGGGTCCACCAGGGTATAAGACGATCCTACCACCTCGGACGTCCCTAATAGAAATACTGGGGGAGAGAGAGAGAGAGAGAGAGAAGCGCATTTGATATGTCAAGTGAATGAGTGAATAAATGAATAAAGATCCAACCTGAGATCAGTTGCTGGCAATGAAATGCGGCCGTATGATATGATATGATATGATATGATATGATATAATGGGATCTGTGGGATCAAGACCTTTCCATCGTCTCTCAACATTCCCCAACCACATCTTTCTGCGGCCTTTTCCTTTTTTTTGGGAAGAGAAGACTCATCCCACATACACGGCATATCGCATAAACCCCTCGTCCCCCTTCAACCTCGCCAGATCATCCTCCCTCAAACACAACGCGACTGCGACCTCACCGTCCGGCGCCTTGGGCATCAGATAGAACAGGTTCTCGACGGGCACGAACCGCGGCCTGCGCACGGCCTCGGGCCTGCCCAGTCCCAGGTTATAGTCCAGGTTGTAGCAGTCGTATTTGGCCCAGGAACTCAGCATAATGTCCGCGGCCGGGTCCAGCCGCGCGGTGACGTTGAGGCTATTGTCCCCTGGTGCGCGGTGCAGGCGCGTGGCTAGTGCGCGCGTCGCATGCGCCAGGTTCGACGTCGCGGGGTCGACGGCTTCGCGGAGTTTCGAGGCGATATGGCCCAGGTGTGTGTCGAGGAGTTCCTCCAGAGGAAATGTCGTGTAGGTCATGTTCTGGACGAGGCCCGGGTACGTGGCGGGAATGCCTAGGTATCGGCGCGGGTCGATCGCCCGGGCAAAGGTCACCTCCCTCGAAGGGTCTAGGCGAGGACGACGGGCCCGGGACACCCACAGCCAGATGAAGGCGGATAGGACGTCGTCGGTCGAGACGAAGCTTGAACTGTTAGTGAGAGATTGCATTGCGACCGATTTCAGGCTGGCGAGCGACGAGGCAGAGAATACAAAGTAGGACCAGCTGCATTTTGGAGGTGGAGGTGGAGGTGGAGGTTGAGATTCAGCCTGAGCCTGAGCCAGAGCCAGAGGTTGTTGTGCAGGTATATCGTCCACGGCATCAGACGCAGCCTGATCTGCAGAACGCTTCCCAGTCTGATTCTGATCCGGCCCTGGCGGAATATCAATCTCATCCAGGAGCGGGATAAGATTGCGTCGATCAAGGTTCCCCGTGGCGATTTCCTCGGCGGTGAACACCTCCCCATCGTGACACGCCTTTGAGAGGAGGCGCATGATCTCAACCATGCCCGTCATGTCCATCGTGTTATGTTGTGTCACAAAGGTGAGCAACAAGCCGCCCGGGATGAAATTGGCCTGCACCGCAAAAACCGGCGCTGGTCCGTCGGTGCCCGCAGCGAGGGTGTTGATCGGTGCGATGACGGACTCGTCCAGCATGGTGAATGGGAAGTTGGCCTGCCGCAGGGTATCCATCGTCAATGTCGGATGGCCTTCTCGCAGGTCCTTGACGACCAGACGAGGAGTCTTCTCAAAGGGTCGAATCTTGTAGAGTGTTGGAGTGTCATCAACTTCGGCGGTAGTGCTCTGGCGAACCACCTGGCCCGCCACCCATGGAAAGCTGGCAGTCAGTCTCTCAAGTCCCATGGTCAACGTGGCGACGATGTCTGCCTGTGAAGGTCCTTCGTCGCTCATCTGAAAGCACAGACATAGCTGTGTGTATAGCTTGTACAGGCCTTGTTGTTGCCCGAAGATGTCGAGGTCGCTTTCGAAGTCATCCATGATTTACCACTTCCTTGACCACGAGACTTGTGGTTCTCGCACTTGCTTGCAAACATTGCAACCATGTGGACTTGCACAGGGACTGTATTTGTACTCAATGTCAAAGTGGCCTTGAACATGCGTGTGCAACGACACTTGGTCGATCCTGCGCCTTTTAAACCTCGCGCCATTCCAGCCGCGGCAAGTGGAAGTTTTTCTGGCCGATCGGACGGACAAAGTCTGTAATTGAGTCACTTGTACAAGAATCCATTCTCAACAAGTAATATTCCAGAGGCGCCTTTTGTTTAGCCACTGTCATCGACACCCTATGTTACATGTGTCCATTTGTTATGCTCATGCCGTATACACTATTCATACATTGATCGTCCGGTATCTTTGTAACCCCCCCCCTTCAAACTCAAAGCGATATTTCCGCATACCTATCTGGGTGCGCAATCAGGGGCACAATCCCACCCTTTCTCAGTGGCACATTGATCCCACACCGTGCCAGCACGTTCGTCACGGCACACACTTTGACCGAAGACAGCGTGATGCCGTGCTGGTCTGGTTGCCTGTCCGTCAGAAGGATCAGTACGTTGATTAGCTCTTGTATCTCGTTCATGTCCAGAATCACCCGCCGTCGCCCGGGGGTGAGCCGACGTTCCTTTGCGAACATGCCCATTTCCTCGTCTAGCCATTCGGCGACTTTGGATCGGAGATGGGTCATTTCTCCAACCGATTGCCATACTTTGACATCTTTGCGGAGATGGGGTGCCGAGATAGATGCGTGTGTGAACTTTTGCTCGGATGTGCGATATCGTTCGTCGAAGAGGCGCGAAAAGATGGTGAGGTGAACGTCGCCCTCGACCTCGACACCTTGTGAGGGTGTCTCGTCGATGCATTCTGATATGGTCGCTGCGATCACGGCCATTCCCCAGACAAAGTTATACGCCAAAGAGCCAGGGGATAGCTCGCGCAACCGCCCGTCGATGCGCCAGGTCCAAGACATGCCCGACGAAGGATTCAATGGGCCACTGTCCTTTAGCTGCAACCACTCTGCCGCCTCGACTGCGTACATCCTGTTTGGCGCGCCGTCGGATACCAGCTCGTCGTATCTCTCCGACTGCAGGGGCCAGATGGTGTGGATGTCTGTCCGCACTAGATCCCCGCGTACAAGACTGAGGTAGTAGTAGGCATAGTAAAGCATCCGCGCCGTGTCGGAGGACTGTATGGTCCCTGTGCCAGGAGGAAAAGCAGGAGCTGGAAACGGTACGGCATTCCAAAGCTGGCATGTGTTGAGTGGCGCAAGGAGAGACTTGACTCTGCCTTGTAGACTTGCAAGGAGGACCTGTATCTCACAGTCAGTTTGGAGAGTGGTAAGATCACGCATCCCCGGCAAAAGGCAGACTCACCTGCAAACTTCTATATATTGTTTCCAGCGACACCAATGCCGAAGATATGAGGTTACTCTTCTCTTTGAGCGCCTTTCGCTTCTTGGGGCTGTGAGAGGCGATGTAGGCCAACACCGTCTCCTTAAATTCTTCATCCTTTTTGCGGATATCGTTTTTGATCTGCTCTATAGCCCCCTTCACCTCAAAAATCTGCCGAAAGATGACCCTTTGCTCCTCTTGGCTGTTGCTCCCCGCGGCCTGCACGGCGCCTACCATGGCCATGCTGGTCTTGGCCTGCTCCTCTGCTATGGCTTTTCTGGTGTCGGCGGTTTGTGACTGGAGTGCCCGTTGCAGGATGTGCCGGTCATTGATCATGGCGTCGACAATGATTTTGGTGTTGTCGCGCTGGAGGTCAGAGAGGCATAGCTGCTGGAGGGCGAGAAGGTCGACTCGTTCTCTGTACAAACCAGTCGAGAAAAAGAGTCAGATACATGTCTACCATGAGAAAGGTGAACCGAGTTCCGCAGCGGTGTCACAGTGTCGGAACAGCTCTAGACCTACCTAAGGTCTGCAATCAGCCGGAGGTTGATCTCGTCTCGATATGTGTTTAGCCGCTTCTCAATGGCATATATCTTCTCTTTGCTCCATACACTTCGGAGGGCCTTTCTCGTGCTCTTCCATTTGCTGGTCTTCCCTTCCACCGTCACCTTGGATAGTGCCTCGAGAAGCTCCTGTGCGACGTCCCTGCAGCCCTGGCAGATGGTGTCCAGGGCTGGCTCGTGCGATGCCGGTGGCTGCTCGTTCTCGTCCGGAGGTTTATTCTGCTGAAGTTTGCCCGTCAGTTCCGTGAGGTCCTTTGTCGTCGCCTCAATGTCCACGGTCTCGCTGTCTGCCCCGAATTGATGGACTTCTCGCGCCTTGGAGACTAGGTTGATGCTGTGATTGATCAGGTCAAAGACGTTCACCACCAGACTCACAGCACTGAGGGGGTCGAGCACCATGGTGCCTCACGCAAAACGCAGGATATACAGCAACCAAGAGCATGATGGGCGGACAAGCCCTAATGAGAAACGGAGAGCTGCTCTTCGATTTGGGGCCCCTGTGGCGTCCGTATGCGCCCGCGGCAAGTGGCTTGCTTGTTACATGGCAAGGCAAGCCAGGGCATTGGTGCCATTGGCGTGTCCCAGTGGCCAGAACCCCAGAGGTACCATCCTCATACCGTTCAGGGGTCAGGCTGAGATTCAACGAAACACATGGTTTAGGAGGACTTTGACGTTGCCCCTGTTTGTTGCTTGCTGGAAAAGCGACACATTCGATCAGTTCTACGCGAACGACTTTGGCCAGACCTGGCTGACAGCCTTGGCAGGGAACAGCTGCCATGACGTGCAGGAAAAAGAAATTATGTGGTATAACAAATCAGGACATTTTGTCTTCTTATCCTCACAGACCGTTCCAAGTACTGCATATTTGGTCTCCCACCGAGCGATGACTTTGGATCGGACCCACCGAAATCAAACCCTGGGGGACAGCTACTGGGACGAATGGGCTCGGGCGACTGGGCCTAGTAATGCGCAACCCACAAGCTTTAGGTACAGGCAATTAACCTGCGGGAGGAAGTAATTCCGTCCATTGCCAGCCTTGCCAGTAGCTGGAGAAACCTGAAGTCTTTTGCTCAACCGAGGGATATACATACTAAGAAAGGTTTCGGGGAGTCCAAGAAAGTATGTGTTCGGTAACGGAGCTGGTGGAGCTAGCTCGTTGATGATATCACATCATATACCAATCTCTACCGTCGTTTGCATTGATAAATAAAATGTACAATGAGTAACTTATGGTGGTTTGAAATTGTCAAAAGGTGATGCGGGAGATTCCTTGACTGCCGACGTGTCCATCAGCCCACCATCATATTTTGCGAGTGTACAGTACATTCTCCAGTCCTCGTCACAAAGCACCCGCGCGTCGAGTTATCATGACCGGAGACCAACCACCACCACCACCAACAACCTCCTCAAAGTCCAGCATGCCTCCCCTACAACTGCCACCAAATCTGAAATTCGGCCCCTTTTCAGTAGCTGCACAGGTCTTCCACCTCTCGCCTTCTCGCCTGTCTTACGGCCTGGTCAACCTCAAACCCTTGCTGCCGGGCCACATCTTGATCTGCCCGGTACGCTGTGTCCCCCGGCTCACGCAGCTCACGGCGCCCGAAACCGCCGATCTGTTCAATACGGTCCGGCTGGTGACGCTGACCCTTCAACGGGTGTACCACGCCACCTCTTTCAACGTCGCGGTCCAGGACGGCGTCGATGCAGGCCAGTCAGTACCGCATGTCCACGTCCATGTGATTCCGCGCCAGAGAGGAGATTACGACCACAAGGGTGGTGGCGACAGGGTTTACGACGATATGGACGGAGAGGAAGGGGACCTGGGCAAAGCTTTCCTCGAGATGCAGAGGTTGAGAGACGAAAGGGTAAAGTCCGGAAGGGAGGCGTTGGGTGGGCCAGACAGTACGAGGGAACCCAGAAGTGAGGAGGAGATGAGGAGGGAGGCGGAGTGGCTGAGAGAGGAGATCTGGAAGGATCGTGCACAAGCACAGGATGGGGAATGATGGCCATGGCTACGGCCACTTGGGGCTTTCTGCCGCCATCGATTCTTGTATCAACAAATCCAACTGCTTGTGTATAGAGATAGAAACGCTGTGCCAGAGACGGGAGGCCAGCGTCGACACCAACCGCGGCAAAAGAATAAAGGTCCAAACACGCCATCTATTGTTTTCTGGGTATCTCTGGTCTTCAATCTTTATGGCTCTCGACGCGCTGTCGAGCAGATCGCAGTCTGTTGCAACATACATCGCGTCTCTCATTCTCATCATCATTTCGCATGTCCATTCATCTCAGTCACTCCATTGCCCAACACCTTGCCATCGCCATTACTGTAGTATTCGGCCTGTTGCTCCTTGATTGTCGCCGCCTGTGTGGGCTCTCGAGGTGCCATATCTTTGCTCTTCCACAACTCGGCTCTTTCATCCAAGATCTCCTGCGCCCATGCTTTCATCTCCTCCAGACTGATCCTCCGCGCCACCCAGCTGAACTCACTCAGGTCAATGGCGCAATTGTTGGCCCGCTCGTACTCCACCATCTGTAGTATTAGCTCCAACTTGTCCACATCATGAACGAATTTCGACTCCAGAGTCTCGCTGTCCTCGTATTCTTGCCAGACTGAGCGGATATCCTTTCCTGGAATGCCGCCGTGCACTTTTCCAAGTAATGACTGAGCGACCCAATCCATCGTCTCGGCCTCCCGTCTGCTCTTCTCCACTTTCGGCACACCATCAACGGGCGTCAAGTCTCCAACGAGCCCTTCAGCCATGTCATGAACCAACGCCATCTTGGTGCATCTCGGGATATCCAATCGTGAGCTTAGTTCTGGTGGGGCGAGCATGGTGATCAGGGACATGCGATACATGTGGTCTGCTATTGACTCTCCGGTTGAGATACCAAACCTCCGCCATCCTTCTCGCTTCTCAGTCTTCAGACGCTCGAGGTAGTGGAAGAACGGTACGGGAGAAGAGGAGCCTTCGGGCGGTGGGTTCGGCAGATCGTTCAAGACAGCGCGCACGGACCAAGGGTTCGGTTTGGGTAACAGAGATGTGTGAGAATTTCGGAGGGTGAATGAAGGTTGAGTAGGTGGTACTAGCAGGCATCAGCGTTGAAACACGGTATTTGGGCAAGATTCTTACGTTCAGGTCTGTCTGAGGCCATTTTGCTGCCGTGTAGAGAAATATGGTTGTCGGGTGATAAGCAAGGCACCAGATGCGACGACGAAAAGATGAAGAAAATGAGAGTAAAAATCTAGAGATACCATCCAGTTTAATGTTGCTGCGCCTCTAGTGCTTGAGTGTACAAAGCAAACTTGCGCGACACAGACGATGCTTCAGTATAGTGACATGTTTGTTGGGCAAACACCAAATGAGGCTGTTCATTTGTTTACCAAGCGACCCTCCCCGCCAAACAAAGGGGGTTTGGCTGCCCGTCCCGCCTCGCCCGCCTCGGCCGCAGGTGCCAAGCCAAGTGAACAAGCACACAAGGCAATTCACGAACTCACCTCAAGAGGCAGGTCTGCCGGGGAGAATAGCCTTACCGGTGGTGCCGATAAGGCTGGCGTTATTTTTCTTGACCAAAACTTCAATTGCTTGGTCCAACGTCTCTTTCGACCCCCCAGCAGAGCATAATGAGCGTTATCGAGACATAACCGCGCAGACATTGCTACAAAGGCCACCAGTCAGCTTTGAGGGCTCTAGTTTCCACGGTCAAAAAGTTCGACTTGAGGGGTCACAGCACTGCGCGAGGAAATTCTTCCTTGATTGCCGACCCGATCAATGCTGGTCCACTAACCCATGGGAAGCTTGAATAATGCCAAGTTTGAGAACATGCATCTTGTTCTATATATACTCTTATCATGCACACTGAAACGCATGCAGAACACCTCCTTGGTTTTGTGCATGAGCGCATGTTCGGTACTATACCAGGTACATACTATTTCTGAAACCCCTAATTCGTCGTCTCTTCTCTCAACATCTCTTGACCGTGGATTTGATGCGAGTGGCAGAAACCCGGGTCATATTCGTGCTCGGTTCGATGACGCCTTCTGTGTTTGTCTAAAAGGTGGGTGGTCCTTCGGCGAACGGCCGAGGAGAATGCTCGGAGGCTGGCACGGCTAGGTCAGCGCTACAACTGAGGATACCTTATCTCATTTTCTAGACTGGAAACTGTCCAATCTAATCAGATGCTATTTCATCATCTAATCTGATAAGTCCCCGACGACTCCATTGAGCTCCGCTCCCAGCTGCTCCTGCTCGAACAGTGGCATGCCTCGATGCAAACCTGCTATCCCACTTCCGATACCGCTTGAGGCGCGTGACCAATTGCTTGAGGGCTGAAGAAGGAGGAGGATTTTTACGACTCGAAAGGCTCTCTCTGATTGACTGAGGAACATCGTCTATGCTTGCTTGGGAAATATTACCAATGCCCACTCGGGCAGCCAGACCCATGGGTTCTGAAAAAATATACTCCTGCGCTGCCGTGGAACTCTACAGCGGGTGGAATCTGCTTGACTCCATCATGGGTGTTGCAATTTTCTTCTGGACTTGAGTCTGGGAGCACAAAAGGAACAGCATCGTCCTTCTGATCCTGTTTTCTTTCTGGCCAGTCTCTCCCCAAATTTCACATTTCTGGACGTTCCCGTTGGCATTTTGAGTTGGAGAACTTCGTCCTATCCCACACCATGCAGTGGCACCAGAGGTCATTCTCTCTGCTTCTCGTTCTATTGGCTGGGGCTTGTGATGTCTTTGCAGCGTCAGGTTCCGAGGTAGCTGCCCTGCAGGAAGGCTCCCTCCTGCCACGGGCTGCAGCACCGGCAACAAAACATCGCTCTGACAAGGTCCACGGCATTGTTATGGGAGTGACGGTCATCATTCTTTTCCCTTTCGCCTCGATCTCCTGGAGACTGCTCGACCGTCTTGTTGGTGGGAGAACGCTCTTCAAAATCCACGTATGCTCCCAGCTCCTGGCTCTGGCGATGCTCATCGTTGGCTTCGGAACCGGCGTCTGGGTCTGTATTCTCCACAACGAGGTACGTACGGGAAGCCGTGATTGGTGGGGATTCTACCCTGCGGCGCCATCCTGCCAATATCTTCCCACGTCGTCCCATTTCTTGTCACGAAAGTGACTGACACGCGGCTACAGGTCTACAACGATGAATGGGGCCATGTAATCCTCGGCACCATCCTCACGGCCCTCTTCCTCCTTCAGCCTCTCATCGGGCAGTGGCACCACTACCTGTACAAATCGCCCAGTCGGAAGGTCAGGCCTGGGATACGTCGCGTCCACATCTGGCTGGGACGACTGTTGATGGCTGCAGCCATCATCAACGGCGCGACAGGCATTGTGCTGGGCAACAACAGCCCCGGTGGCGAAAAAGGCTACAGTGCCGCGGCCGGAATCGT